CCCCACGAAAGCACATATTTTTTTTTTATTTCATCATTCTTTTACTTTTCTCTATCTCTTCCCTTCCTTCTTCTAAATGTATTATTTATGGGGCGAGAAGGGAGGAGACAAAAGCGCGGAAATCATAAATATGCAGGAGGCGGAGGCCGCACGCGCTCAAATCCGACCGGATTAATGGCCACCCGGAAGTGCTTGAAAACGATCGAGCATCAACCCAGAGACCGGGCCGCCGCCTTCCTCGATTTCCACGCAAATTCAATTTGAATCCTCAACTGAATACACGTTTATTGCATGTACAAATTAATCATTTCAGACCGCAGTCTCCTCTCCATTTCACTTGGGAATATTCGTAACATTATTTTAATAAACTGTATTATATTATATTGTGAGAATGCACAATCTACGTGCGTTTTAGTCTCGGTAGAAGTAACGCTTTGCGATAAAATGATGATAATGGTGCGAAGAGGACAAGGCGCAAACAGTGGTGAAAAGCGGCTTCAGAAGGGGGATGATTGAGCGGTTTGACTAGTTGGGGAAAGAGCCGAGCAAGAGCACTTTTGCTTCTCGAAATCCAATTTGCACTATTCTCTTTATGGGTCCAAGAAAAGGCGGCGATTCCATAAAACGACCTTATTAGTAGCGGTCTGCTCTTGCCACTGCTGCTGCTGCTGAGATCGTGGAAAGAGAGCAAAGATTTCTTCTTTATCTCCTCCTAGGATCCTCCACCTCCTGTGCACGTCGTCGTCTCCTTTTTACTTTTTCTCTTCTCCGTTTCGGAACGCTGGCGGATTGTAAAAATGGCAACGACAGACAAGAGAATGGACCAATAAAAGGGAACAATCGACTCGTAAAGTACACGGCCATAACAGATAAATAGATCCGGAGCAGAGGATTGTGTGCGGCGATTCGAGAAAAGGAAGAAACGGGAAGAAGGAAGAAAGGACGAGCATACGAATCGACTTTAATACTACCACCAACCAACCACCCTTCCTCCTCCAACAAGATATACTTTTCATTCTCGTGCAGAATGCCAGACACGTTCTAGATCTTTTCGTACGCTTCTCCCGAAACGAACAAGAAAAATCACACTTTCCTTATTAATTAATGTCCGCAAATCCGGATCGAAACGATGGTATTGATCCCCTAATGCGTTTTAACCCTCCTTTATTTTCTTGTTTGTTTTTTTTTTGTGTGTATTTTCTTTTATCGTCCCTTGTGTAATGATCCAAAATTGTGGCGCAAGCGAAGGGAGAGAGAAAAACGTAAATGAATAGACGACCCCCAGCAGCTTCCGGCACTTTCATTAACGTTTTACGCGCCTCATTAATCGGCCGCAACCAGCCAAAAAAAAAATCTTCGAAAACTTCGCTTCGTTTCCAGCGAAATTAAACCCCGAGTAAGATTACTCTTCCTCTTCTATCAACCTCCCCACAACCATCATCCATACCAACAAAAAAGTAAATATATATCAAGGACGAAACGAAGAAGTGAAAACGATCCGCCATTAAACTTAACTTGAAAAAAAAAATGTGAGTGGAAAAAAAGCCTAAGAAAGTCGATGAAACCCAATTAAAAACAACTTTTACGGAATCTTAATCCACCCCGGGGAGGATATTCACTCTTTCCTCCCCCTCTCAATCAAAATCACGAGCGGATGATAAACATTTCGGAAACATTCCTTAATTAAATCTTTCCATTAAGCTAATTAACAATTTGCAAAAAAAAAAAAAAAAGATACACATGTACGAATTGCGACTTTTTTATCCTCGAGTTCGTGCACCTCTCCAGAGATGGAACGTTATTCCCTTCATAATGCATAGATAAAAGGGAAGTAAATTGAAAATTGATGGCTCAAGAGATAGCAGCAGCAGCAGCATCAAAAACGCGACCGCATATATTCTGAATAATTAACACGCGACGCAAAACTTTCGAACAGACGAAAAGAACGCGAATTTGCGGTGGTTTTTAGATGAGAAATATGTGTCTGTTTGTTTTCTTCTTTCTCTCATCGGTCCCAGAGCTCGAATTGCCCCCAGAGAACGAACGGAAGAAGGGAGAGGGGAACAAATTGAGAAAGAGAAGATGATGAAGAAGAAGAAAAAAGAAAACCGTTGCCAAGAAAGAAAAACAAAATGAACGGGACAAGGAATGAGTTTGCTTTCAATTACGCCCTTTCAAACTTTCTCTGTCTGCTATTTCATATATATATATATATATATATTTTTTTTTTATTGCCTCTACCCTACACCTCCATCAATCAAACAAACGAAAATTTTCGCTAAATTGATGGCTTTTCTTAAGGATGTTTCTGAGAGAAAAAAAAAACAATGTGCTTCTATTATTTACCCAACACTCTCGATGGAAAATGAAAAACAGCGCTTTACAGTGGAACCTCGCTTAACGAGTTTAATCTGTTCCAAAATTTGCGGATTTTTTACTCGTTTTCCAATATAAACTAATGTAAATTACTTCTCTCCTCATCGTCACTCGTTAAGCGAGTCATTTTTCTTCCAATTCATTTTGCTCGTTAAGCGAGGTTCCACTGTATTGTTATCTTACAGCATTCTTGAACTTATATAAGTTAACCGCAGAGGTGACACTAAAAACGTTGATTGAAAATAATTAAATTTTCGCAAATCTAGAGAGCAGAGAGAATCAAAGGACGGAGGAGGATGAGGAGGAGGGCAACACGTAGATTCTCCGCCATCTTTGATCTTCATTCTTTTTTATGTTTCTTCGTCTTTCCGTTATCCCGTCCCAGTTCCTTCCCGGGGATTGAACTGACTTGGGCGGAGGGAGAGGGAAAGGAATGGAAGAAGGGTCGTCGTTTATGGTCCGTATCAATCCTCATCCGCGCGTCGTAAAACTGAATTTCAAGACACGTTCCTCGCTCCAATAAAATTTATTGAGATTACGTGGCTATCGGGAACTAAACATTTAATACTTTGTCTTTCCGAAAAAAAAAAACCCTCAGAGATCTTTTCTCCATTCCTTCCTTTCTTTCTTTCAGCCCAAATGAAATTTATATGTGCACAAAAGCGAACACAATTTCGACTAAATCGCGTTCGCATTTCCGCACAAGAAAATTATTAATAGCCCTTGCGCAATCACCGTTAAACACATTTATATAATACTTTGAGCCGTTACGCAATTAAAATACATACTTCAATTTAACATCATCGATTTTAAACAATCGTATAGACACACACACATCTTTTATGCTCGAGTTAATTCGAATTTAAACAATTCATGGAAATATTCAATTTGTACTTTTTTTTTTATAAGCTTCGTGCAGAACGAAGAAGGGAATGTAATAACCGTAGCAGCAGTATATGCTACGTTTCGTGAGCGCCAGAAATTTTAATATTTATTGGCTGATAAATTCGTAAATAAAAATTCAATATGAATCTACCCTTCGCTTGCTACAAGTTATTGCAGGTGTGTGTGTGTGCGCAAATGGAATATTCAATTTTTATTATGCACGCACTTCCGACTACTACGTGTATTTCACGACACGAAAATGTCAATAATGTTTGCTGGGATCAAATCTACAATGCAATAACGACGATATTGTAACAAAAGAGAGAGAGGAAGAAACGCAATAAATATCCAATTGCAATTTATGTATGTCGCTCATAACTTTCGGATGAGTGCGGATGAGAGTAGAGATCCGAGGTGCTTATGCAGATTAAACCATTTGTTTAGAGCGAGGGAGAGGAGACATTTACATACTAGATCACGCTACCTGTTTGTACATTTGCGGAGCGGCGAAACGAGAGGTTTTCTTTCTTTCTTTCGCTCATTCTTCGTTTCGTTTTGGTCGTCGGGGTGAGAGGAAGGAGTGGTAGACTTTTGTACGCCGCTCTCGTACACAACCAACCCTCTCTTCCCCACACCTCGTCCATCCGTCGTCGTCTACGTCTAGAGCCAAGGATACGGAAAATCTATATGTAATAAAAATGCCCGAGCATAAATCTCGGCTCAGCGAAACTTCTGCCCTTTGTAAAGGATATATAATATGTTCAGATATATCAAGACTTACTCCGACCAACAACAAAAAAAAAATAACTAAAGAAGAGATATATGAAAGTAAACTGCTGAAATATTGCCGTAGGGGGATCAACCGGAAACGGTTATGCCAACCTCAACCACGACAACAAAAGAAACAAGTTTTCGGTTGCCGCGGTAACAGCACGGATCATCGCCGAACTTGATGCGAAAAGGGGGGGTGGCGCTAATAAGCGCGGCAACCAATTATACTTGTACCGTGGCCTAACCGGAAAAAAAAAGAAAAAATCGTGTCGTGTCTCCCCATTATTTATCATCGCTTTCCTATTATGGAATAACGCGTCATTTGTTCCGCGCCGCCGGCTGGATGATAATAAAAGCTCTCTGTAGAAAAGAGCGGAGAACTCAATAAAAGCGCATCTCGTATATGCATGTACATATATATATATATATAAGTCTGCGAATAAATCTTTTGTTCATTTTGAACCAATCAGTCCTTTTTCACGAACACAAAGAAGAATAAGTTCTGCTGTACTTTGGTATCTATCTCTTACCTTATCGTCGTCGCCTTCGCTATCACACTGAAACAAGTAATTCACAGATTAGTTATCGTGGCGATACGGCAAAAGTGCAATTCGCAAAACTGCGTTTCAGCTAATGAAAAAGGCAGTGCAACATCGAGCAACCAAAAAAAAAAGCTGCTCACTCTCGTTTAGGACCTTCCAACTCTTCTTTTTTTTTTCTTCTTCATTTATTTCATACCATCATCGGTTGTCACGGCAACATTCGCTTGATGTATGGTTACGTGGCGAAAGCTGTCGCCGCGCAAACTGTCTGCTTAAGGTCAATTCGCACCATATACTCGTACGTAATGTCAACGATCGCGATAACGATTATTTTTTTACTTCTTCTTCAATTCTTCTCTTCTACAATTGACTATTTCGAAACGATTGCGTTGATTTTATATGCAAATTATTTATTTCTTCAAATCTTGATGATCTTTGAGGTTACGTGTTAGGTGAATGCTTACGTTATGTTAAAAATAACACATCTTTACGTTTAGTATAAAATTATTAAAACGTAATTTTAATAATAAAATCGCTCGACGTATATGTATTTCTTTTTGGAGGCGCTCAAGAAAGAAAAATACTAATTCGAGTCTGCACTTCATGAAATTGCTGAGACTAATTTATTAATTTTCTCTCCGTCGATTATAAATTACGCTGGAGAAGGAGCAAAAAAAAAACAACAACAAGAAAGCAGCAGCAGCAGCAACAAACAAAAGCAAAGCGAAACAAACGAACGAACAAACAAAAACAGCAGAGGGAGGAATGAAAGGATAATGGGAGAGAGGGCGAGAACGAAGGAAAAGAACTTTTGTTCCCGAGGTCCCAGCACATTTATTTAGTGTACGAGAGGAGACAGCAGCAAAAAAAAACCGCTTTCACGTTAATTAAACGCTCTTTTTCGCTGGAAATAACGCGCACAGAAGGAAAAAGAAGGAGAAAAAAACAAGATTGTGTGTAGGAGCCAGAAGCATAAAGATAAGCGCGACGGAAACAAATTGTTTTCATCTCACGCGCTGTCACCGCCGCAGTTTTTTCTTCTTCGCTCTTTTTTTTTCCAGTGTTGTTGCGCAACCTCACTTTTATAAAAAAAAACAAAGAGGGTGCAAAAAAACAGAAGAAGGATGAAGCAAAAACAAAGTAGAAATGAAAGGGGTTGGAAAGGTTTAAGTAAATAAAGAAGCAAGTAGAGAGGGTAGTAGTAGAAGGACAGCTTACGATATATCCTTTTCCAGAGCTGCAACGGCTGCTCGCATCGCTGAGCCGATCCCGAGAGCTGTCGGCATCCCTCGGCGCCACTGAGGAGCCCGTCAGCCGTTCCGACGCTCTGCCACTGTCGTCGCTCGTCGCCGGGTCCTGCGTCATCGTCGTAAGGCCCTGCAACCAAACAAGCATATCATCATCAATAAATAATTATACAATTTCAAATACATTAATGTAACATTTATTGCATACACACAGTGGAAGAGAAGTCCCGCATTGCGCGCCTCCTACATCATTTTCAAAACTTGTGTACACCTATTATATGTATGTTTGAATATGTTTCACTATACGAGTAAAAATCCGGATATTTTGGAACGAATTAAACTCGTTAAGCGAGGTTTCACTGTATAAGTAAAGTATATGCATTTTACCAATAATTGAAACTAAGGTTCAAGAGCTAAGGCCCAAACAAGGCTATTGCTGGTGCTGCCGCATCGTTAGATGCGGTAATTAAAAGACGGCTGCCTTTGATCGTCTCAACATTATAGCAATTAGCGCGATTCCGCAGTTAACAAAAGAAACAAAAAGAAAAAAGTAATCTTCTAAGCTTGCTAACCGCGAACGGTGGCATCATCATTTGCGAAGAAACAACAATAAAAAGGAGAAATGAATAAAAACCAAGTAGGGTTAATTTGCCGGTCGGATGCCCTTTTATTTTTTATTTATTTTTTTTAATAATCCGTCGTTAATTTTTAATGGCAAAAAGTAAAACTTCAGGGATTTAAAAAAAAAATGTATATAATAAAATAGCGAACCCCATTATCGCGAGACGGGTTGGTGGGGTTGCAGCGTGTAATTAATGCCTCCGCAGCGGCAGCGGCGGCGCAAATGGGGGGATGACCTCTCCGTTTCCCATTAAAAATTCATTTCGCAAGTGCGCCGCATGCAGCGACAACGATCTCTCTCACCCTTGTTTCTTTTTCTTTTTTTGTAATTTTATTTCTGAAGGGTTTCCGCGTTCGCCGCAAAAAAAAAAGAGTTTCGAGATTGTTGTTCTATACGTATGTATACTTTAATACATCCGTGCATGCATGTACACACACCACACACTCGTCTTTCTGGATGATGACGTTCTTCTACTTTTGCAAAAGAAGAGGGCGCTGTGCACTGACGCGCGCGCCCGAAAGGATTATAACGAGGTGTCGGTCTGTATGTACCCTTCAACCGTCAACGTAAACACACTCACAAGGAAAACAGACCCTTTGTGAGTGAGCACGAGAAGACGCCGGACAAAGGGCTCGTTACAATTACAGCACACTTAACCATTCAATAAGCCCAACCACAAAGAAGAACTGAATGGAGAAAGGATGGGAGGGCAGGATGTTTGCTTTGCTTACACAGAAACCGATCGTCCCTAATCCGTACATCTCTCTCTCTCTTTAGTTACATCAATATAAAATTGATTGAACAATGACAGCTGTCAATGTAAGTTTGAGAATGGTACTTACGAAATACACACTTTGCTTCATAAAA